ACCTAAAAGTACAATAATATAGTAATATAAAAGTACTAACTTCTATCCGTGCCCTGAAGACCAACAATAAGTGAAAAACCGCGAAGTAGGAATGGTAGTAGTAGTTTATTTTATATATATTAAGGTGTTTGAAACCCTTCCCACACTCTTGCATTATTCTAAACAATGTTTCTAAACTCTAAATGCTCTAAAAGACACAGAACGTCATGATTTCAGCTCCCTGCCTCCTCTACTCTCAGCCGCCTGCAAGTGTTCTTGGCCACGCCCACTTCTCCGCTCTGCACAGAGATCAGCTGATCAGCTGCAGCAGGAAGTTTATCCTGCAGTAAGGGCTTCACAAAGGTGCAGCAGGTGCTAAATAATTTAATTTATTTTAAATAAAAATCCCATGACAATCGTGCGGCTCATCCATCAATCAGCCACTTGTGTGTCACGTCCACTCGTATTTTGAAAAAACTGCGATCGAGCGAGTCGCGATAAACGAACCGCGTGGAACTACTGTACTGCAAATAAATTACGGTAACGGTAGTTTATATCTACGGAATAACAAACCTGTGTCGCCGTCGTGTTTGCGTTTGACAGAGCTTGAGGTGTTCTTCGTATCCTCGTCGTCTGCTTCACCTGAAGTTGACAAAGTCTAAAAAAAAGAAGGATATAAAACAATTAGCAGGTTTATATGAATAAATTAAAAATCCACTGAATTAAAAGAAAACGTTCATATATTTTGAATTTCAACCAGACCTGTGGCTTTGAGGAGGCCACGGATTGGTTCTCCAGGCAGAGAGCCTCGAGCTTGTGCTCTTCCTTTTCATTCTCCTCTTCAACGATCTCGTCCAGAGTAAGAAGATCTTGCAGTTCTCCTTCCAGGACCTCCCTGTCAGAACTCGGAGCATCAGTCACCCCTTCCTCTCCAGTCTCGTCTCCCACCTCATCCACAGTCACCAGCTCCTGCAGCTCTGCCTCCACCTTCTCCTCACTCTCCTGCCGCTCCTCCTTCGTTCTGCTCATGGTTTTCCTACCGTCTCCTCTTCTGCTGCTGCTGCTGCTTCGGCTCCTTCGCTCCCTAGTTTCCCTCTCACTGCGCTCACTTCCTGGCTCTTTGGCAGATGTTTGTTTTCTCTCTTGTTTTTCTGATGTAGCTGTATCGAGGCGATCCTCCACCTCACTCGCTACGTCCAGTTGGACGAGTAGATTTGTTGAAGTCGAGTTGTTTTTCTTGGATTTCCGTGTCTTCTTTGACGCTGGTGTGCTCGTCCTCCTCCCTGTATGAGCAGGTGGGTCATGCTTGACCTTCTCGACATCATCAGCCAACTGAAGCAGACTGTCCTCGTTCTCGGCTCGTCCTGATGTTTCCTTGGATGAGGACACAAGTTGATCATCTTCCACAGAATCTACAACCTGATAAAAAGCCTCTTCTTCCAACTCGTTTCTGGGCGACTTAATCGATGAGGTTCCTGTCTTCTCAGCCTGATCTTTGGCAGGTTGATCATCCTCCACAGAGTCAAGGATCTGGTACGTTTCTTCTTCAGCTGCTTCACTTGTATCAACCTTTTTCAAAGCAGCGGCTTGTTTTGTAGTGGGGGTCTTCTTAGATCTTCCTCTCCTTGGTTTTTGTGATGATGACTGGATCTCCTCAACCACGTCCTCCTCTACAGCATCTAATATTTCGTAAGCCGTCTCCTCTTCGCTTGTGTCCTTTACGACAGCACCCTTGTTCTTTGCTGGTGTGGCTTCCTTTGGTGGAACGCCACTGGTTTCAGGTGCATCTGTGACTGGCGTGTGCCTCCTCCTTGTGCGGGTCTTGTCCTGTTTCGTGTCTTTTTCAGCATCTTGCTCGGCCGTTCTTCTGCTTCTTCCTCTGATGGATCGTGTCAGAGCTGGTTTGTCACCGACAGCCTCGTCATCCACAGAGTCTAAGATTTTGTACATCGTTTCCTCTTCCTTGTCAGATTGTTCAGACATTTTTATGGAGGTCACCGTCTTCTCACCATCACCTTGTCTTCCATCAGAACATTCTGAAGCTTCTTGAACAGATTTGTCTTCAGCGGAGTCCACTAGCTCAAAGACTTTCTCCTCGTTACTCTGATCGGTCTTTTTCTCTTTGCCCGTCGTGCTATCCTTTGTTCGAGTCTCGTACTTTTTAACTGTTTTGTCCAGTTTTTTGGACGATTTTCCTTCATCTTCATTTTTAGATGTTCGGCTTCTTGAGCAACCACTCCTGGTTGGTCTACCTTCTCTTAAAGTTGTTTTGCCTTTCCTTGTTTGCCGTTTCTTGTCAGTCTCTAATTCCGTTTCTGTTGGCTGATCCTCTAAAGAATCTATTATTTGGTAAACCTCCTCCTCCACCTCCTCTGTTGAACCAATATCTGCTTTAAAGATCTGGTCACCAGGAGTTCCTGGTTTCTGGCCTTCGCCTTCAGGTACGGTCCGACCATCAGCTGAATTCATCGTCTCCAAGACTTCTTGTTCAGATTCTTTCCTGTCATCATTTTCTAGAAGCTGGTCGTCAGACGTTTGGTCGACATCTTTAGAGGTTTCACTCGATGCTTTTGAAATAATTTCTTGCTCTTGTTTTCCTTTCGTTCCATCTTCCACGCTCCTTGTAACTTGATCTAGAGCTTGATGTTTATCGGCCGTATCGGACGGTTTGTCAGAGCTCTGAACAACTTCCTCCGCCTGCATCACAGCTGAATCTTCATTTTTATCGTCAGCTGTAGCAGCCTGGTTTTTACCAGCACTGTCAGACACTTGGACAGAAGCATCGATCTCCATTTCCCTGTGGTCCTCTGGAGCCATTTTGCCATCGTTATCAACACGGTCTTCCTCAGGTCCGGTTGTCTTGGTTTTGTTGTTGCGGTTGTCTTCTTCCATGTTTGCCTGGTCATCGGTTTTCTCATCAAGTGAATGCATCGTTCTGTCATTCTCATTGTAATCTCCTCTTTCCTCTGTGGTACCGACAACATTTTCTTTTTCTTTACTTTTCTTCAAGTCTTTGGCAGCTTTGTCTTCAAAATCAGACTCCAGGCTCTGGGTCTGGGTAGGTGACTCTGACTTCTGTCCTTGTGCAGCTGCATCCATCCCTGACGTTTTGGGTTTTGTCTCTGACTCGACTGTTTTTGCAGCATCGCTCTCTGCTGACTCCTTGTGGCCAGACTGTCTCGCTGCACGCTCTGGAGGTTTAGCCTCCTTTTCATGTGACAGACGGGTTCCTGCCTTGACAGACACTGACGAAGATGACGATGAACGGGTACTTCGACCTGTGGATGAAGACTGTGATGCTCTGGCAGAAGACTTCGTCCTGCTTGGTTGAGCTTTCTGACCAGAGGAAGCCGAGGCTTCAACAGACTCTGTAGGTTTAGTTTTGGCGTGCTCAGACGAGCGATTCTGCTTTTTGTCCGATTCAGAGGTGGAACGAGAAGACGAGCTGCGTTTTGTAGATTTGGACGACGACGTGGAGCAAGCAGAGTCTTTAGATGAGGTCTTTTTGGCAACAGGGGACACATTTGAGCTGTTCCCCTCTGTTCCTTTGGTAGGGGGTTGTTTAGGTATGGAGGAGCCATCGTCTGTAGCCGCCTCGCTCATGTCTTCACTAATTTCGTCAACAGTCACAAATTCCTCAAAGTTAAACTCAAACTCATCAAAAATATCCGACTCCTCTTCTTTATGGACGTCCTGTGCCTGGAGGAAGAAATAATATATAAAAACAGAACTATTGATGGCAAATGTTTTAATCTTTGCACTGTATTTTTGGGACTATAAGGCGCATTAAGCGAAACAAAAGAGTCAGATAAGTCGAACTTTATTCAACTCGTTCATAGTAACCACATAGAATTGGTCGGGGTCAGTAAGCACAACCAGAATTAATACATAAGGCTCGCTGTCGATTAATTAAATGATTTTAAGTGTCTGAAAAATACGGTAAATGTTAAATGTTAAATTAGGGCTGGACAATAATTCGATTTATATCACGATATACTTTTATTCAGTAACGGTGATACGAGTTTTAAGCACATTTTCAATATTTCAATATGATTACAGCGTTTCACTGACGCATTTCTTTTTCTATTCGGGTTGAAGCGGCCGCTTCAGTTTCAACCCGGACAGAAAAAGCTGCGACACAACTACGTGAGTGCGTGGTGACGTAGATGTTACGCAGAGCTCGAGTCCAGAAGGCTAGCAAGCTAGGCTAATCTATAATGCGCGTTAAGTTTTCTCTTCAAAATGAGTTCCCACGATCGTCAGAATGGGTCTGAACAAGCGAAGAGAAAGCAGCTGACATAAGTGATGAGAGGAAAGACTAATTTAATGGTGTGGAAGTGGTTCGGCTTTCTAAGATCAGATAAACTCCAGGTTTCAGTCAGTGCGCTGCAAAACGTGACGGAGAGTCGTTCCAAGTAGAACACATTTAACTTGTTTCATCTGAAGTTTCCACTCGATAGAAGATGCTGAGAGTCAGAAGATGAAGCACAAAGTTTGAGCCCTGAAACACCCGCAGCTGTATCAGAAGAGAAACATGCAGCAAACACAGAAGTTTGCTGCATGTCGATATCGATACTGAATTATATCGTTATCGGCCAAAATTAAGAAATACATCGTGATAAAAGATTTGGCCATATCCTGCAGCCTTATGTTAAATAAAAATAAATCAACAATTCCTAAGTGAAAAAAAAAAACTTCAGTGAAACACAGAAAACTTTCAGAGCTGGAAGAACTTGTTTGTTTAAATGTTTTAGGTAAAATAAAAACATGGATGGGTACAAGGAGGAGGCTGAAGGAAAACTTGTTTACCTCTGCGTGTTGTTTGTCCTCCTCCTTTGCACTTTTAACACAAGTTGCTTTGCTCATGTTGGCACTCTAAAAGGATATAAAAGAAAAAAGATTTTAGACTTTAAAAGCAAATTTACATCAGTATGAGGGTCTTCTTCCATATCGCTAAAATTAGAAACATCTGAACTAAAAATGATGCAGAAAAACTGGTCCATGCATTTGTCACGTCTAGACTGGACTATTGCAACGGTTTATTATCTGGGTGTCCAAATACTTCTTTAAAACGTCTTCAGTTGATCCAAAATGCTGCTGCCAGAGTCTTAACTGGAGTTACTGGGAGAGATCATACCTCTCTAGTTTTAGTTTCTCTCCACTGGCTCCCTGTCAAATCCAGAATTGAATTCAGAATTTTACTTCTAACCTACAAAGTAGGGGTGGGCCCCGATTTCATTAATTTTGGGAAATCGGAATCGGCCGATACTTGCATGAGAAACCGATTTCACAGATTTTTTTTGTTTTGTTTTAACAACAATTGTCTGAACTTCATTTATATTTCAGAGCACGACCTCATGGCCAGTTAAAACAAGTTTGTATTGTTTCTAGGATATTGTTCAAGGGTCTGTTTTTCTATAAAATATTAGAAAATTGAAGGTGCATTGTGATCTTATAACACACGACAGCGTCGCTTATTAAACAAAATCAGAATCAGCAGGTCAGACTTTTTAAGAGATCGTGATCGGCCAGAAAACTGCAATCGGTGCACCCCTACTACAAAGCTCTCAACCACCTAGGTCCATCTAATATTGTTCCATATTTTCCTAACAGAGCACTTCGCTGTCAAGCTGCAGGTTTACTCGCAGTTCCTAGAGTTTCCAAAAGCAGAATAGGAGGCAGATGTTTCAGTTATCAGGCTCCTCTCTTGTGGAACCAACTTCCAGTTTCTGTCCATGAGACTGACACATTGTTCAGTTTTAAAAATGGGATTAAGACTTTCTTTTTTGATAAATCCTATAGTTAGGGTCGGCTTGGGTTTACGGAGCTGTCCTTTAGTTCTGCTGCTATAGGCTTAGACTGCTGGAGGACAAACTGACCACA